TACTGTATTATACTAATATTATTTTATACACACCTTATTAACACATTAATAGTTGTAATAGTAGAGAATAATAGTTCAACAACCATTTTTTTGTCTTTGCCATGATGACAGTACATCATATTTTACTAGTTAATTTGCAAATCATAATAATTCAGGTAAAAGTGCAATTTGAAGTAGGGATGCTCAAAATAATCGATTAACCGTTAACCGAAAGGGTGCGTTTGTGACTGATTAATGCTATCAGTTAAACTATTAAAAGTATTATTTTATATATTTTTAGTTTGGCTGCATAAGGGGCCGATTGAATGCGCCTTTGCGTTAAGAGGGGCATCTTTTGCACGCGGCTCATCCCAGAGCAGCAGTTTGTGTTGTCAAGACAACTACAGAGAACTTTTAAAGAGCATGGTTTCCGCTACATTCATTCTTCCATGGCGGGAAACAAAATGCATCCCGCCACGGCTACATACCCATTCAAAACATTCAGTTATTGTTGTTGTTGTTTTTAATAGCAGATTATAATCGCATCAAAACGTATTAAAAGGTAAGTGGATTATAACAGCGCAAACTTTTTTTGTAACCATATAGTGCTGTGCGCTCTCTGTTTAATCCTTTGGGGTTACGTGCTGACTGACTGACTGACTGACTGACAGGTGCGCGATGCGTGAGGTCAGCAAACACGCAGAAGCTTTCAGTTAAGATGAACACAGTTTCTATAGTTATACTTTATTTAAAGATAAAGTATGACTCTGTATATAATCACTCTATCATGCTGGAGTTTATAGCCGTTTCGCTTTACTTCAGGACGCATTATTGCCGCTCTGAAGGTCTAATCGCTGTTTTAAGTTATCCAGAGCTGTATGAATGTACAAATCTTGAATATCATAATATTATTAAATATTACAATTTTATCAACATATACAGCAACACTTTTGCACAATCGATACCCAGCTGATTCAGTCGTTTCATAAGAGGACCGCGCTTCTTCTCGTCTTTTTTCCTTGTCAACATATAAAGGCAGGTGCGCCTCGCGTTTTTGGAATGAAAAAAGCACGTTAGCGGTGGTCGGCCACTTGTTCAACTGCAAGACATACTTAACTTGCGGGACGATAACGTATAACCCGTGCCTACAGACACATTTGCCAAAGAAGCAAAATGGAAGAAGAATATTGCTTGAAACAGACCTGTTGATGCCAAAAAAACGTTGATGTTGACCTGGATCTGCATCATAAACGCAACAAATAGGCTTTACCTTTTATTTTACAGCTTATAAAGCATGTAGGCAATTTCATATTTAAACAACAAAACTGTTTACAAAAAGTCAACATATGCGCGCGTGTTGTTGTCTTTTCATCACGCAGCGCGCGCACTTGAGCCGCGATGGAGAGAAAGGAAACCACGTCAAGACATAATCTTTGAAATAATGATTTCTATTAAAAATGTAAAAAGGTTTTGTGATTATAATAATACAAGCGAGGCATTAAATAAATGCATATTTTCCATGGAGCGAGCGATTTGAAGAAGTCTGCTATTTTATTTGACGGAAGACAAAAATATGATTGTAAAAAAACAGCCTATGCCGGTTATTAAAATAATCAGTCAGTCTTTTAGATTTGTAATATAAATTAATTAATTAAGTGGAAAATAATTTAGGGCAGTCCTATTTATTTTATTCATTTTATTTAGTTTATTCTGTTCTTCTGTGCTAAACACTGCAGGTGGGTGAAAATGCTCTGTTGTATTGTTCTATTATTAATATGCTAGCATATAAAAATAAATCAGTATTTTATGCAATATTTAATGTGTCAGACACAAAATAGACACGTCAATTAGTTTAATATAAAATTAATAGTAATTTGACCAGTTAACCGTTAATAACTGATTAATGAGCGGCGGTTGTCGGTTAGCAAAATTAACCGAAATGAGCATCCCTAATTTGAAGGCTTAATAGGTTAATTAGGCTAATTAGGAAAGTCAGCAAATAACAGTGGTTTGTTCTGTAGCCAATCAAAACAAAGGGGGTTAATATTGACCTTAAAAATTTATATTAAAAAAATTTAAAACTGCTTTTATTCAAGCCAAACAAAAAGATTTTTTTTTTTCCGAAAGAAAAAAATATTAAAGCAAATACTGTGAAAATTTACTCTATTTAACATCACTTGGGAAATATTTGAAAATATTTGCCAATACATTTTCCACCTGCAAGTTACTGTTGTGTCCAAATTCCACACTATTATGTGTTATATACTGTATTATTACAATGATCAACAAGTATATGCAAACACACCTTTATCCCACATGTACTGTATATTCATAAGGGCTACATCTATACGAGTTTAGGAGATCCCAAATATACTTTTCAGACACGACTAGTTTTACCAGAGGATGTTAAGTAAATTTGCATTTCTCAGATTTAATCTTTGTATTAGTGGCACACAAACATTTAAAGATTGGCAGATAAATTGCTTACTTTTTTTTTTTTACTAATTCAGTCCTCTGAGACTGCGGTGCATTATTATTTCTCCTCATTTATTTTGACCTTTGTTGAATACTGTAAATAAAGTTTTCTTGTTGCTCTGCCTGCGAGTCCTTCATTATGGATTTGGACTTTCTGGGTAAGATATCAGTTGTTGTTTCATTTACTGCTGCCATCCCATATGAATTAAAGAAGAGAGAAAAATCAATATCCACCAAAGTTTATGGTCAAAAACAAAGCAATTAAAAAAAATTATGAAAGTGATTACAATTGCTTCTTTGCACTGTTTAACAAATAGCTCACTGTTAAAGCAGGAATGAAATCAAAAGTTATTGTACGTATGTTTATATGTATATAATAATGCTTGTTATAAATTACCCATGCACAGTATCTATGCACTTCATTCTTTGTCAAAATTAATTTGCCCTCAGAATCTTTAATCAAATATCATCAAACCTTCTCGCCCCCCTTAAAACGACTTTTCATCACTTAAGGTCACACGGGATGTCTTTTGGGAGGGGCTATCAGTCCATGTCTTGCTTCTATCTTCATTAATCTTCTTTCATTTTGTTAACACCACCCTACATTTCTTTTCTCATTACAGGATTGTTTTAAGTGGATGTACATCATGATAGAGGAAAAAATTCACGGTATTGTCATTATGGCTGTAAAATATGTTCTTTTTAAATGGGCAAAAAGCTATCTTTTCCCTTTTTCCCATTGAACACAATATATTAGGAACATTTAAAATATTTTGGAACAATAAACATGTCATGCTAAATCATTAAAATAAATGATTGACTTCTGCTATCTTCATTATTTTCAAAAATACAGATTTTGAGAAGACATCTGCTAGATATCTTTCTTTTCTTCGGATATAATGTAAACCACTGTACTCTTCAGTTTCATAGCTTGCTTGGTTGGTTTATAAGTGATTGTTTTTCAAATATTTGTAATTTAATGTAATGTAATGTGCATTTATATAATGCATTTATTCTGTTTGGCCATACACCAAAAGCGCTTCACAATCATGAGGTGGGGGTCTCTTCACACCCCCACCAGTGTGCAGCATCCACTTGGATGATGCGACGGCAGCCACAGGACAACGCCGCCAGTGCGCTCACCACACACCAGCTATTGGGGGAGTGAAAAGACATAGAGCCAATTCGGTGGATCGGGATGATTGGGAGGCCATGATTGTAGGGGCAAATTGACTTTGGCCAAGACACCAGGGTTACACCCCTACTCTTTAGTAGGTGTCATGGGATTTTTAATGACCACAGAGTCAGGACCTCGGTTTAACGTCTCATCCGAAAGACGGGGCCCACTGACAGTGTATTGTCCCCTTCACTTTTACTGGGGCATTAGGACTCACACAGACCACAGGTTGAGTGCCCCGTGCTGGCCTCTCTAACAACACTTCCAACAGCAACCTAGTTTTCCCATGTGGTCTCTCATCTAGGTACTGACCAGGCTCAGCCCTGCTTAGCTTCAGTGACTAACTGGTCTTGGGCTGCAGGGTGATATGGCTGTGGCAGTATCGTGCTGAATTTGCTGAATCTTGGACTGATTAGTAGCTTTTGATGTGGACAGTATTTGCTGCTGTGATGATCACCAGCGGTCCCCTCCAGGAAGATCGCTGGTGAACTACACATATCACACTAACAAACTACAATTCCCATTATGTCATTTCACACACACCGGTTGCTGCTCACTACTAATGACTCACACACAGCTGAATTCCGTCATCACTGATCATCTGGACAACTTACAGTATACACCACACATACACCAGTTCAGGGTCTTTGTTTGCTGTCACTGTTTGTTGTATCAAGTGTTTCTAGTTCTTTGTTTTGCCCCAAGCCTTGTCTTTGGCTATTTCGCATAAACATGACATCATGATAATTTTTTTGTAATATCGCCCAGCCCTAATACAGTATACCACAGGAATGGTATATAATAAAAACTGTTAGCGGTTTTAAAACCGTTACTTTTCCAAACTATGGTAAACCTTAAAACTAGTAATTGTTCTATGTCTAAATTGACTTCCATTATATTTTCAATCTACAGTATCTTTTAATGTGTAGGAGTTTTCCACTATTTTTCAAAATATATATTTTTAGGTGATGAGTATTTTTATGTTTGTGCGAATTATCCCTTTAATACATTGTGATTCAACTGTTATGAATGCTTATTTTGCATTCTGCATACATCGTATGCTAAACAGTAAATTAAAATTGATATGTCAAAGTTTTTTTCAATTGTCACCTTGGATTACATTTCCCGCTGAGACTGAGGACAGAAAGAGGAGAAACAGGGCAACTTTGTGTGGTTTGAGTGACAACAGGTGACCTGCAACCGTGTGTGGGTTTGGTGAGGGAGCCACGACATAATCACAGCACACCTGAGACTGTTGCCGTAGCAACAAGTGACCCGCTAACCTGAGCATCTCCAGAGCTAATCAACAGCTCCGGGTCTAACTGGCATCCCACCCTGAACCCGCTCGCAAACACACACACTCGCTGACCTGGCCCTCCTTGGTGTGTCTGGCTGCCGTAGAGATGAATGTCATCTCCTGATGGGATGGGAGAGTCCTGGCCCTCCTCTCTCTCCTCGCTCCCCTCCTCGTGTTCTTCTCTCTCCCTCTGTTCTAAGAGGAGACACACACACACAAAACAGCCTCAGTCTGGATGCACCTTTTCATGTAACTGTTTAACTCACACAGATTTTACCAACTAAAATAATAAGTATATACATATCCAAACAACTCCAAAGCAGTGTTTAGTTTTCTTGTCCTTTTTGTATATTTTTGCATCTTTTTTAAGTTTTCTTTTTATAATGTCTGTTTGATGCTTTTCTCATTTGAAACAACAATGGCTTTATTTTATTTGGGCGGTCAATTTTTTCTATATGTAATTTGGTATCTTAAGTGTATATAACCTTATGAAATATGTGACCCTGGATTATGATACCAGCTCATATTTTGCACAAGGATAGTTTGGGACTTATTATTATTATTCCCTTCATTCATCAGGGGTTGCCAGAGCAGAATGAATTGTCGGTCACACTTTACAATAAGGTTCATTAGTTAATGTTAATTAATGCATTTACTAACATGAACAAACAATGAACAATACATTTACTACTGTATTTGTTCATGCTAGTTAACGAAAATACAGTAGTTCATTGTTAGTTCATGTTAACTCATGGTGCATTAACTAATGTTAACAAGCAGGGACTCGGATGTTAATAATGCTTCATGTTCATTGTTCATGATTAGTTCATGTTCGTAAATGCAATAACTTATGAACCTTATTGTAAAGTGTTACCGAATCGTCAGCGAATGCCCTTCCAAAAGCAATCCAGTACTGGGAAACATCCATACACACTTAATCACACATATACACTATGGCCAAATTAGTTTATTCAATTCACCTGTAGCACATGTCTTTGGACTGTGGAAGAAACCAGAGCTCCTGGAGTAAATCCATGCAAACATGAGGAGAAAATGCACATAGAAATGCCAACTGACGCAGCCAGGAATCTACTAGTGACCTTCTTGCTGTGAGGCAAAAATTGGTAACCAAACTGTGTCATCCAGGAATTATTATTATTATTATTATTATTATTATTATTATAAAAACAAATTATAGATTGCAAACTTAAAATTCAAATGATTTTTGACTAAAAATCATTTTCCATGAAGACATTTTGAATTCCATGAAGACATTTTGTAAATATCTTTCTGTAACCCCATCTAAACCATTTTTAAAATAAAAGGTCCTTTTTAGCAATATGCATTGCTAAGAACTTAACTGGGACAATTTAAAGACTTATTTTAAAGTGAAAAAAAAATTAACACACAGATTCCTGATTTTCAGAGTATCTCCATCAAATACTGCCCTATATCCGACCAAACAATACATCACAGGAAACATTTATTTAGCTTTCGAATGATGTACAGGTCTCAATTTCCAAAAATTGACACTTATGACTAGTTTTGTGGTCCAGGGTGAAATATATGGTTGTAAAATCTACATGAATCAATATTATATCCTGTAATACAGAAAATATAGTGAGCAAATTTCAATGCTAAAATGCTTGCAAAAAAGCAAAAAGAGCTGCAGGTTTTTATTTTTATTTCTTTCTTACTTTTTCTTTCTTTCTTTCTTGCAGTATATAATATAATTATTAATATTGTTCAAATTCAGCCACATGCGCTACAGGTTAATTAAATAAACTAAATAGGCCATAATGTATGTGTGTGAATGCAAGAGTGTATAGATATTTCCCAGTGTTGGGTCGCAGATGGAGAGGCATCCGCTGTATAAAACATATGCTGAATAAGTTAGTGGATTATTCCATGGAGGCAACCCCAGAGTAATAAAGGGACTAAGCCGAAAAGAAAATGAATGAATGAATGTTCAAATTGATCGGATAACAGTGATTTGTTCTGTAGCCAAGCAAAAAAAGAGTGGAGGCTAATAAAATTGACCATAAAACTCGATATTAAAAATGTAAAAACTGCTTTTATTCAAGCCAAATGAAAAGAAAATAATACTTATTTTCCAAAAGAAAAAAATAAGAAAATAAAGAAAATACGATGAAAATGGCCTTACTCTATTAGGCATCACTTGGGAAATATTTGAAAATATTTTGCCATAAATCTCCCACCTGCACTCTACTGTTGTATAAAAATTATGCTTTTAGAGTCAGGATGCAGGATAACAGGTTCCACACTATTATTAGTGTTATATCTTATCACAATGATCAATGAGTATGTGCACACACCTTTTTCCCACATGTACCGTACATTCATACTGGCTACATCTGGGTTTAGGAGATCCCAAGTACGCTCAAGTATACATTTCTCAGATTTAATCTCTGTATTCCAGTCATTGGCCCACAACCATTTTAAAGATTGCCAGATAAATTGCTTACTATTACTTTTTTTTGTAATCCAGGGTAAAATATATGGTTGTAAAATGTAAAATCTACAGGAACTAATATTTCATCCTGTAATACTGAAAATATTGTGAGCAGATCTTTATACTAAAATGCTTCCATAAAAGCAAAAAGAGTTGCAGGTTTCTTTCTTTCTTTCTTTCTTTCTTTCTTTCTTTCTTTCTTTCTTTCTTTCTTTCTTTCTTTCTTTCTTTCTTTCTTTCTTCAAAGTGTTGTGGATTATATAATATAATTACTAACATTGTTCAAATTGATTAGATTCATTGACTTTCATAGATTGCTTTCTAAAAATGTAATAATATAATATGACAATCATATTAATCCTTAATAATAAATACATTTCATCACTGAATTGTTCAGTTATTACAATAACCTATTACCAATAATAGCTCAGCTGCATTTACATAGTTAAACTGCCCTAAATATTCCAATATAATACAATATAATAGTTACATTTACATTTAGTCATTTAGCAGATGCTTTATAATATAATATAATATAATATAATATAATATAATATAATATAATATAATATAATATAATATAATATAATATAATATAATATAATATAATATAATATAATCCACTTCCATTAATTCGTTTATGACCAAATAGTTTAGATCCACTTACATACCTACACTGTCCTCTAACTGACCTATCTCAATTTGTAAAGTAACAAATTACTGACATGCTAATTCCTTAAAGTCGATTAATCTACATCTTTAATATGCTCAGTTGTACATTTAATCCATTCTTTGCCGTCTGAATTGATATCTCAGCCCCGATAAGACTGTTGCTCAATTCCAAAACAACACGGCTTGAATAATCCATCAATTCCCCTCTCGTTTTTTCCTCCTGAATACGAAGTGTTCTCCGGGTTTAATACCCCACAGATGTGACTGTGTAGCCAGAGTGTGGCTGAAGCTGTGATTTATCCACACATGGCAGCTCCTCATTGTTCTCGCCTCTCGGGCTGAATGTGGCATGTGAGTGGCTATCGGTTCCATATCTTTCTCCTCATCTATTCATTTATTCACTAATCCTTCCCTCTATTATTCTCTATGTAAAGCCGAAGAGAAGAGGGGGCTGTTAATCCACGTGTGCTCATTGACTCCACCAGCCTGGACCTGCGGCGAGCGGCGTGAGGATATTCCTCTTCCCGACGTTTGACGCTTTCCCTTTTCTCCCTTCTCGCATTTGCTCTTTCAAGCTCAAAGCACCGTGCTTGATCATATTCATAAGCGTCTGATTCGATGAGAGACTATTCATGAACAAATTAACTCGTTTATTGAAATTATCTCCCATACTTTGTTATAATTATGCATCTATAAACAAGAGCCCCTTGAATTGTATGGAGAGAGATAAACTGTGATTCCTAAAAAGGCATAATGAGGAAATATTTGAGAAATCTGAACATGCCAGAAGCTTTACTTGTACTAAATAATTTCATTTTAGAGGCACGAGAGAGACATGTTTTTTTTGGCTCGGATTTTGCCGCATTGGACTCCAATGCAGCAGAATCAGAGACAGAAAACTTGTCTCTCTGATGCTGATGAGAAATCCAGAAATATAATGATTTTTTTTCAGTCAGAAATGAGGGCATGCTTTAAATATTGTAGGAAGGAGTTTCCCGCTGCCTGGTTCCGACCTTTCCATCAATTGGTGGAGCTTTAGTCCTTTGTGGACTGTTGCCTTTGGCTTGCTTAGTTGAGGTCAGTGGAGCTGCTGTACAGTGAATCACCTCCTCCAACAAGTGTGTCCATTTTCATTAAAGTAGATTTTTCCATCATATATGTCATCAACAATATTTTGTTCATGTGATGGAAAATTCTAAATAAAAATAAGTAGAGAGGTTTTGAAGCCAATAAGACTTTATTGTTTATGCAACAATGTCGAGTTATGTCTGCAGTTACCTTCATTGACAATTCTAATTAATAAAACAGAGTATGCAGGAATCAGAAAAGCGAAATTCAATTCCTTTTAAGAATTCCTTTAAAGATTCTTTTTAAGAATCTTTCCATAAATTTTAAGACCTTATAACCACTTTTCAACCGGAAACACTGGCAAATTATTACTTACAGTATATTTACTAAATAATAATGTAGGACATTAATCCAAAACTGAAACATTTTATATACAGGTATAATATAATAATTCAGCAGGTTGGCACCTATGGAACTGCAGAAATAATGGTGTTGCTTTGGAACAAAGCAGAATGATGTCAAATCTAGTAAGATTTCTTTGCTTTGAAAAACAACACAGCATCCTGATATTGTCAGATTTAATTCAGGCAAACTTTAACATACAACAATATGTTGCATAATCAAAAATGGTATAAAATTTAATACCTTGCAAAATAGCATTTAAGACTTTAATACTTTTTAAGGTCCCTACATTTCTCTGCATAGATTTATCAACTTTTAATACTTTTTAAGACCCCGCAGACACCCTGTAAAAACTGAAAACAATGTATTGAAATGCCACATTGTTTGGCTTTGAAATGTGGTGGGTCACAGTGGCTCAGTGGTTAGCACTATGACCTTACAGCAATAAGGTCAATGGTTTGAGTCCTGGCTTGCCTAGGAGGGATTTCTGCATCGTGTTTGCATGTTCTCCCGATGTTTGCATGGGTTTCCTCTAATGCTTCGGTTTCTCCCACAGTTCAAAGACATCTGGTATTGCTACATTGGATAAACTAAGACAGTGTTTACTGATGTAAAAGTCTCCTTGATTTTGCATACCTTTTCTGCATCAGTTCTGGAGAAAAAAGTTTCAGTTGTTTAAGTTTAAGTGAAGTTATATCAAATAATAGCATCTCAGTTTGAAGCGTGATCCTATTTTTTTTCTTAAAATAATGCATTACATCCTATTGTTAGCACATTCGTTTTTAAACTGACATAAGCCCAATAAACATTTTCTTAAGTGATTCTCAAACAAAAACAATAATAATCCCTTTAGTACAGAATATTATAGAATTTCTTTTTAATGGTCGCCTGTTACAATAAGGTTTCATTTTGTGATGTTAGTTAATGTATTTAATAACATAAACTAATAATGAACAACACTTGTATGGCATTTATTAAATCACAATTTAACATTTGCTAACGAATTATTAATTTAATCTAAAAATCTGCATGTTAACATCAGCTAATGCACTGTGAGTTAACAAGAACTAACAATCAACTTTATTCATTCACTTTTCTTAAATTTTGTATCTTATTTGTTAGGGTTCGCCACAGCGGAATGAACCACCAACTTATCCAGCATATGTTTGACGCAGCAAATGCCCTTCCTGCCTCAACCCAGTACTGGGAAACACCCACACTCTTGCATTCACACAAACACTCATACACTACGGCAAATTTAGTTTATCCACTTCACATATAGAGCATGTCTTTGGACTGTGGGGGAAACTAGAGCACCCAGAGGAAACCCATGCCAACTGGCTAAGCCGGGACTAGCAACCTTCTTGCTGTGAGGTGACAGTGCTAACCATTGAGCCACTTTGCCACCTCAACAATGAACATCATTTTCATTAACTAATGTTAACAAAGATTAATAAATTCTGTACTAAATGTATTGTTTATTGTTTGGTCATATTAGTAAATACCTTAACAGAGCTTTATTGTAAAATATTATCGAATTAATTCTATTTAACTTAGCAAACAAACATCTGCTTGAACAAATAAAAAACGCTCAGTAATTATTAGGAATGCACAGATATGGATTTTTTGGCCGATACCGATAACCAATAACTCGTCAGACTTGGAGGCTGATAGCCGTTAAATATAGGCAGATAATTATAAATATTTCAAAAGGTTATATTTTTATGCAGCAAACTTAATAAAAGACTGAACTGCTCTGATGAACTGAATAGTCTTTACTCAAAGCAAAAATGCTATAATTTCAAAATTGCAAGGTGATTATATAGATCTATATTCACGATTTTACGAACTAAGCATGCAAAAAAATAATTATTTTCTTTTCTTTATAGCATGCAACTTGACTGTTGCATAACAATAATAGGTTAAATAACAAAATGGCATTTAATAAACAAGCAGGTTAAATATATTTTAAACAAAATGAAAATGAAAGAGCTAAAGACTTAAACCAGCCCAAATGTTCTTGAATAAAATGTGTTACAGTAATGTACACATGTAGAAATGTCATGTCTGAAAAAGTCTTTTTAGAGGTGTTTTGGCTGTTCAGACCCAACCTACAAGCGAACAGCTAAACAAAGATTGTATTACTTTAGAAATGCGACATAAATTCATCCTATTTGGAATTTTAGATTCTTTTGAACACCTGTAGCTGCTGCTTGTCAATCAGACAACGCTTCTGTGTTCGATCTTGTTGTCAATTGCGGGAAAAAAAGATTGATGAAAATTTATGATAAACCACTGTGAGTTTCACTCAACTGCAGGCACCCTCGGAGTCAAATTTTGGTACAAAACCTGCACTGAGCATGACTTTATGTATGACAAGCACAGAGCATAATAAAAAGACGAGTTGACGAGTTAAGAGCGAGTTGAAGGCGAGCTGAGAGCCCCTATGACTGGATTCACCTTTCACCTCTCCCATGTGCTGCAGTGTGTGTGTGTGTGTGTGTGTGTGTGTTTGTGTGTGTGTGTGTGTGTGTGTGTGCGGTGACAGCTCTCATGCGCGCTCGTTATAATCAATATGAATATTCCGATCAAACTGAATACAATCTTACATCAACAACATATGGCAAGCAACATGTTGATAATAAAACATAATCATATTAAATTACAAACAACCGTTATGTTTACACATGTTGTAAAATGTGCGGGTCCTTTAAGGGGTGGGGTTGCAGTGTGTGTGAAGCAGAGAAGGAGAGACAGAAAAGAGGAGCGTTTTTTTGCAACGAAACTATTTTCAGTGATGTTTTCTCTTTGTTGACGGACTTTGTTGTACCACACGGATAGTAATAAATAATTTGGACCAAGTTACATGTGTCCTTGTTCATTCACCGGCTGCAATGAAAAGAGAAGGGAGTTAACCCCGAAACTAATATTATTCGGCCCTGGAGTAATAAGTGAATCTCCCCTGCTATCTCTAACACAACAAAGAGACGGAGCAGGAAAGGTTTACACATGCAATATTTTTGACTGAGGCGATTTAAAGCAAAATAAACACTGACAATCAATTAAACATATCTACAATGATAAGGAACATGGTTACTTACTGAGTTATTAATGCACAGCAATACCACGTGAAGAAAGGACGTACTTTGAAGGAATAAACAATGTGAGGAGAGATCCATTATAGTGCACTGGAAGAGTTCCGCCCACGCGTGTGCGAAGCACACAGGTCTGTACAATTACATCATTTATTATCGGCTTAAAGATATTGGCCAAATTTAGACATTGGATCGATAACGATAATCTTAAAATTAGAAATTCATCGGCCAATAACGATATGGCCGCCAATATATCGTGCATCCCTAGTAATTATATATAAAACATGTTTTATTTAATCATAGCAGTTTAATCAGCATCTATATTGTTCAAACCTCAAAATCGTTCACATGTTTTTCAGTAATCACATAAAAAAATGACAGATGTACAGTATACTTTATGTATTATTATTTAATTATACAGTACCCACTAAAATCTTCTGAAATTTAGTTGATTAAAACTAAAACAATTGAACTAAAAATATATATAGGAGACTAAAGCCTCATTCACACTATGAGTGACTCGCAGCGGCAAAGCAACAAACGACCGTTCATTTCAACGGGGAGTGAGCGACAGCGACCATTGGTGACCAGGTGGGCATGTCGAGCAATGGGACAAAGTTGAGAATCCTTCAACTTTATGCAAATGAGGAGCGACTTTCTTGAGCGACAGCCAATAGGAACACCAGTAGAGCTCACGTGATCTTTTCTCAGCTCGCTCAGAGGCTGGTTGTATTCTCTGTGCTGTAGACCTTGCCACTTTGAGCGACAGGCAGCTACAAGGTTGCTGCTAGTGTGAATGAGGAATAAGGCTAAAACTAAATCAAAACGTGTTGTCAGGATTAACACTGTTCAATGACATGCACACTGAAATGAATCATTACTGAATTAACTAAAACAAAACATTTTGTAAAGCCAATCGTGCCTAATGAACTGAACTTGTTTCACATTGATAAAACTTCATAGCTGATTTTCAATTATTGCCCATTTTCTTTTTACAGCAGCTTTGCGCCTATTTGCATTCTATTTTAAAAACAAAAGTGGCTAGACTTGACTTCCTCTCAGCCTTGAGCTCAAAAAACAAATTACTCCAAACATTGACTCACCCATCTCCTGATAGAAGTATCCATTCTTTGCCATCCCCGAGGAGGGAGCCTCTGCAAGACAAATTAACAAAAGACTTCCATAACTACGAGTGTTTGATATATATGAAGTCTTTCTGATCACAGTAGGAGAATAAAGCAGATCAAACAGGTTTGATTCTTCAGTAGTGGCACAGAAGTAAAGGTTATCTTTCCAGGAATTTTTATAGATTAAGCTGTTCAGCATGTTCTGGTGCAATCTTAGACTTCTGTGTTTCTTTCCTCTGCATTCATTTAATAAATGTCAACACCGACAGATGTAATCTATTGAACTGTTACCAATGTCAGAAAATGTTTGAAAAGACTAAGTTTTCATTTTCTGTTTTTTTTTTTTTTTTTTTTTTTTTGATACAACCATTAAGGACATTTTGTTTTAGCAATGCATATTACTAAAAATATTTAAAAATATTTTGATGGAGTTACAGAGAATTTACAAAATGTCTTCATGGAAAATGATATTTATTTAATATTCAAAAGATTTTTGGCCACTAGCAATCTACATTTTGGACTTTTTTCGATGAGGTGTAAAAATAATAATAAAATAAAAATAAATAAATAATAATAATAACAATAATAATAATAATAATAATGAAACAAATTTTAAAACCTCACTTAACTGCCTTATGTGACATATTACAATTATATTTGAGGTTAAGAATTGACTTTTCAATATTAAGGCTTGTTCCGGCTGATTTTGAAAAAGGCTTTGGGCTGGTTGGTGTTGATATAATTGAAGAAATTTTATTAATAATTAATTAATTAAAAACTTAAAAAATATTATTTTTATACAGACATTGCCACTTTGTCGCTACAACAAACTCAATGCATTTTTGTTTCAACATCCCGTTATTTCAAAAATATCAACCTCTACTAAATGGTTGATATGTCGGTTAAAAAGTGCACAAATTATTACATTTACTATGGAAATCTGAAAAATAAAGTGTAAGACCAATTTATTTTTAAAAATATTTAAAATAAAAAAGGAAAGTATTCTTTAATTTCTGAAGTATCCCATAAAATATTTCAGATTCTCATTTAACATGCTTTCACTTTTCTTTTCTTTTTTCTTTTTACAATAAAACCAAAATCATAAGTAGTAGTGCAACAGGATTATGTTTGTTTTAATTTTTGTAAACCAACAATGCTGTGTGTAAGCCATTATTTAAAACAGTTATTCTTTAAACGACTTTAACAATTATTATGTAAAACACTCAAAATATGGTCAATTATTTGGTAGAGTGGGCAATTAAATTGTTAAAATGTATAAGCATTAAATTAAACAGTTATTTAATTTATTTAATAATCTATTTTATTATCTATTATTAAATTCAGTACATCTGTCAAAGGTGCAAAGGGGTTTTTCAAGCATCAATATCAAAATTATATGTCAGTTTTTTACATAAGTTAATATAACAAGAAAATGAATTTGATTCAGCTAAAACATTTTAGGCAACATCTTTTACTGTGTATGTTGAATTACTAATTAGCTGACTCTAACTAATACTAGGCCTCTCACAATATTCAATATATCGACTTATCACACAATACATGGACATTTAGTCTATTAACAAGTGTTAAAATTATAAACACTATAGTATTAATTATAAATTACTATAGTATCATTTCAGGTGTCTGACAACTGAAAATAGATCTGGTAGCAGATATTGCAGCCTCTGTTACATTTTACATTGCACTTTTTTGTTAACATTTATTATTATTTATTTGTTTAGGATATACCTTTTTACAATCTGCTTCCACTGTTTTTATAACATGTTATAATGACTATAATTAAATTAAATATTCTAAACAATAAAATATTATGTGTTTTTTGGAAGAGCTTACTTACATTGTGACAAGATTATAATGTCATTCTGGGATTAAATGGTCCTAAAATCGCAATAATATAATTTATTGCAATATATTTTGGTACAATATATCATTCAACAAAAAATAGATATCATGACAGGCCTAGCTAATACTAATTAAATGTCATTTTTAAATCTTTACCCTCTTTCACTATCCCTCAAATCACTTGTTTTTTTTTTTTTTTTTTTCTTTAAAGAAGGTTTCAATGCAAGTTTTTTGTGCTTCACATTTACATACAGTTGAAATTAGAATTATTAAACCCCCTTTGATTTTTTTTTTCTTTTTTCAATATTTCCCAAATGATTTTTAACAGAGCATCGACAGTTTCACAGTATGTCTGATAATATTTTTTCTTCTGGAGAAAGTTGTATTTGTTTTATTTTGGCTAAAATAAAAGCAGTTTTCAATTAAAAAAAACAAATACTTTAAGGTAAAAATTATTAGCCCCTTTAAGCTATTTTTTTCTATACTCTACAGAACAAACCACCGTTATACAATAACTTGTCTAATTACCCTAACCTGCTTACATAATTAACCTAGTTAAATGTTACTTTAAGCTGTATACAAGTGTCTTGAAAAATATTATGTACCATGGCAAGATAAAATAAATGAGTTATTAGAAATGAGTTATCAAAACTATTATGTTTAGAAATGTGTCGAAAAAACCTCCTCTCCGTGACATATAAATTAATAAAAAAATTATAATAATTGGGGGATTGGGGATGGGGGGATCGGGGGTTTGGCCAACAATAAAGTATACCCCTGTCAGCTGCATTTGATAAGCTTTCTACGTATTTAAAATTACTTTGTGTAATGTAACTTAAATAATATACTTAAGTAACTTAAATAAGGTGTTTCATATTTGACCCACTAATACTGAAATGTACAATAAAAGCTGGCAGACAAAGTTTTAGATTTTACACTTTATATTTCAAGAAGCAGTGTAAATATACAGAAACAAATTATAATTGAATTTACTAAAACATTTTTAAGGTAACTGGTTGCAAACAATTTATATGGGCTGAATTTAAACAAACAAATTTAATTTTGTAATGTTCAGCTTGATCAGTTTGTTTAAATTCAGCCCATATAAATTGTTAGCAACCACTTACCTTAAAAATGAAGTAAATCCAATACATCTTTTTTAATGTAGCTCAATAATGTGTACACTAGTTATGCCTATTAGATTGTCACCAAACAGCCACATACAACAACAATAACACCATTACACACAAGCTCACACTTTCAGGCATAAACACACACACATTCCCACACCTGTGGCCTACATTCATTTGGTGCCGTTTAAGGGGATATTTATGAGGTGAAGTCAGCCGTGACTGAGGTTTCTCTTTCCCCACATTCTGACTCCCTTAATTGTCAGGTACCTCTATTTCCAGCACAACACTATGTCTGAGACGGTATGCATGTACTGCTGGCGTAAGAATACCAGAGCACTCATATTTTTGGAGAGAAAAATACACACAAAAACACAAAACAACAACAGGTTGCCCATATCTAGTCCTGTCATATATAGAGAACCAGACTACATCAGGAACACTGACAGAGAGTTTGTCTTATACTCCTCTTCAGTGACAGCTCAAAAACACAGGCTGTTGTGCCGCTATGTTCCGCAGGACGTGAAAAAAAAAAAGCAGAACGTGTCAGCGCAGGAAACAGACTGTCTGAATATAAGACCGATATGAGACTCCAAACAGCTGACCAACATGAGACTGGCCACTACATGCTTTACAACCCTCGGCGCATTCCTTAAATTAGCACTTATTTAAAATCAATAAATGCTTTGGCTAAAGACTGGAGCGTTGTATACGACAGCGATGTCGGAGCTCCGATCCTGATGCTCGATCATTCTCTTGGATGATTTCTTGAGGGTTATTCTGACAGCTGTGCTTTCAGTAATTTGATGCCAGTGGAAACAAGGTTGTGAGTGATAGAAGTGCAGTCTGTTCAATATGTCGCACTGTCTCAAGGCGGTGTGATCTCATTAGTATTGTGACAGCCCACTCGAACACACACGCACACATATAAATCAGTAAATTGGCAAAATGTGTCAATTTTACAATGCGACATGACACAAACCTGCATTTAAAGTGCCTAGATTTGTAGTCCCTTCTGTAATTACATTTAGTCATTGTCTTTATTGCCAATGTGTTGACATTAGGCCATACACAAGCATTTTAATAGATGTCTTCACACCAACAGGTTTTTACTTTAAATGCCAAAAGCTGAAGAAATTAAAGTATTACTAAACATTTTAATTTCTGTTATTTGGATTTTTTGTTTCTTAGCAAATTTTTATTAAATCCAAAAGCAAAAAGAAAGAAAAATAATAATAAAAAATTGTTTGTTGCTTGTTTAAGCTTCTTATTTAAAATAAGTAATAACCTTTTTTGGGACAACTTAATTGTTTTACGTTCATTCCACTTAACCCTTATTTACTTTACTATTGGGGATGTTGTCATCCAGTCTGGGGTAATTTTGTGTCTTAATTTGTACAATTACTGTGTTTCAGCTAGCAGAATGATTTTTAATGACAAATCTTATTTTGACACATATTTTTGAGAAAATGCTTTGAATAATAAAAAAAAAAAACTGAACAATACACTCTGTTCAAATTTACTAACCTTTTGTTTTGTTCGGGATGAAAACATCCACAAAATTAAACTGCTGTAAAAATGCATCAGATAAATATTGATTTTTAAATAATTAATTAATTAATTTATTTTATTATTTTTTTTTTTTTTGCATAAGTTTGTTAATCATCCTCAGTCCTGATCAAAACCACTAAACTGTTTAGAAAAGTACAGGATTTTAACTATTTAATTGCCAAACTTCTAAATGACTTCACTGATTTGGTGAAAACACACACACAAATTGACGTATTTTCAATATAAAAGTAATAGTGAACTGGACTTTTTTAAACCTTTTATCAAAATCTTGGACATGTGAAACAATGCCTTAGATACATTGTTTTTGATTAATTACATTTTTTTTCTTTCTCCTTAATTTATTGTTGGTGGCTTTTTTGCCCCATTGACTTCCATTATAACCACTTTTGCAAATCCATGACACCATATAATCTTGCATTTATTATTGTTGTTGATTTTCCCTGTTGGGAAGAGGTAAAACTT